GGGGACGAGTGCCACCCGTTCAGTCACAATGCACCGGCGTGGGGACACCCGGCGGGGCTGGGACGTGGAAGGGACAAAGGCTGGGAAGAGGGCACCGAGCTCCGAGCGTGGGGGGAAATCTCCGGTAAAAGATGGAGAAGGGATCCGGGGGGCTGGGGGTGGGTGGCATCGGGGGGGTCCCCCCCAGCTGGCACTGGGGATGGTGAGGAGCTGAGATCCCTTCATTTAAATGAAAAGCTCCGAATCGAGCCCTAAGTGCTCTGCCAGGCGAGGAGAAGCCGGGTTAATGCCGCAGAGCCCTCGTTGCTCTCCGATAACGAACCCCGGCGCGCTGGGATTAGCCCGGAGCGTCCCGCTCCCTGCTCCAGTATCGATGGTCCCCCCCAGCTGGCACTGGGGATGGTGAGGAGCTGAGATCCCTTCATTTAAATGAAAAGCTCCGAATCGAGCCCTAAGTGCTCTGCCAGGCGAGGAGAAGCCGGGTTAATGCCGCAGAGCCCTCGTTGCTCTCCGATAACGAACCCCGGCGCGCTGGGATTAGCCCGGAGCGTCCCGCTCCCTGCTCCAGTATCGATTTTGTACTCTGGGAGCAAGATTTACTGATGCTGCGCCTTCTGCTCGCACAACGGAGGAGCGAAGGGCTCCAGCGAGATCAAAAAATTAATTTCAAACATATCCCAATGAAAGTCTTGTGAAAATCCAGACATTTTCTCAGGGCTTTGAACCCATTTGATCGTTTTTCGCTTGCGACAGAGCCCTGACGCCCTCGTCTCTCCCGTATTTCTCCGCAGGTCCCCTTTTTCGGCAAGCGCCAGCACCACGCCTGCCCCTGTTTGCCCAATTTCGTCTGCTCTCGGTTCCTCGCCGGCCGCTACCGCTGCTCCATCAACTTCAAGAACGTGGATTTTTAGGGCGATGCTCCCCGCTCTCCGCCCGCAAGCCCCCAGCACCCATTTCTTACCCTCTCCTTGGGTGCTCACATAGCACCATGCGACCTTCAAAGTGCTTTTCTAAGGCAGGCAGTGCTGTTATACGCTCTATGTTGTATGGGGAAACTGAGGCACGGTCAGGCCAAGTGTGCGTGGCCTCAGAAATCCCTTCCACACGATGTTGTCTGTATGTACTAGAGGCCATTGGCTCGATTTCACCTCCCTCCTTCATTTTATAGAGTCAAAATTGAGGGTGATGCAGTTTGAGAAGAGTGACAGTAGCTGCCCAGTGATGCTCCTGTAGTTTTTATTAAAAAAATATATAGTATAAATATAAAATAAGGATAAAATTTGGGCAGTGAAGCTGAGCAGCATCACTGCAGCTCCTGAAGCATCTGCAGGACTGAGCCGGGTGGCACAGAGGGGTTATTTTTTCAGTTATTTTTTACACTTTTCAGTTGTGCACTAGGAATGACAAAATTCAGAGGGGCAGAAAAATTCCTTTTATGAGGAGTTTCAGCAGTTTCCCTGCAATTCCAACCAGACAAACCATTTCTGTAGTGAGAATTCCCATCAGGATATCACCTCATTGTGTCTCATCAACTTTGTTTTTTTTCCTGGAAGCAGCTTTCCAGCTGGTGACAGACGATCTAATCCAGCTGGCAATTAAAATAAATTGATATTAAATAGCTGTGGGCAATTAAAAAATGGATTTCCCCAAAATTCAGGCATTGCAAGGTGTTGGGCAGAGGCTGGAGCGGTGTCGTGCCAGATGGGGGGATTTGGGATGGAGTAAAGCATTTCCAGCCTCAGCATCTGCCTTAGGTTCAGGTTTGGGAGCTTCTTTTTGTGTCGGTCGAATTTCAGAGGGGAATGGGATGTGAAAGTTAATTAAATGTGCTAAAAGTTCTCTCGGATGCGTGGTTTCAGTTCCCTTGGTAAAAACTTACAGTGGAAAAATCACGTTTCGCTTGAGCTCCCCTCCTGCATCCTACAGCTACCCCTGGAAATGAGAACTAGAAAGAAGTAAGTGAAGAAATAAAGAATATCAGCATTGACAGAAAAAAACCCACCCCAAACCCAGAAAAAAGTCGCTTTCCTTTCAAGCCAAAGCTTATTTTCAGGGTTTGAATGCACGCTTGTGCAGAGCTGGTCCTGGAAAGCCCTTGGGATTGGTGCTGGGAGCCCCACTGTGCTCTGGGCCCTTCCCATTGGGGTGGTTTTGAGGGGGACTTGAGGTGATTTTGGGTGGTTTTGGGGGGAGTTGGGGTGATTTTGGGTGGGTTTGGGGGGGATTTTGGGGCTTTAGCATCAACTGTTTCTGTTTCTAAAGCCCCTTGGGACAGGGGATGTGTGGCTGTGGCAGAGTAAACTCAGATTTGGCATTTGATGCTGGGCCGAAGCTTCCCCGCACTTGTTTCCCCCTCCTAAAAATACTGTAAATGTGATTAAAATAAAACATTGCAATGACCACGTTGATTTTATTTAGGTTTTTTTTTTTTACTGTTTAGTTTTGCTTTCTCTTTACAAAAGAATATTCCTGCAGCAGGGATTTATTTTATATTTTACTTGCTGGGGTCACCATGGGTTGGTGCCACATAGAAATGGGGCCCATAGCAATACAGAGTGCGGAAAAAGTCAGGAAAAAAGCCCAGTATTTCATAACAGTGTTAAAAATTATAAGGTTTCATGGTTTGGGTTTCTTTTATTAGTCTGTCTTACTTTATCAGCTGCTTCTGGCCTTCCCATAAGCTTGGAAATGCACAGAAAGGGCTGGATTTTTTCGAAATTAATTAAGTTTTAGACCTCTCCCAGTGGAAAATATTGCAAATTATTTTCTCCCAGCAGAAACAACATCAAAAAAAAGAAATAAATCAACTAAAACAAACTAATTACCATCCTCAATTCCCATTCTAGGGGGGGACTCCTCAGTCCCCAGGGTGGCATTTACCAAGCTCCTGGTGGCTTTAAACTGCAGGAGGTGACAATTTAGGGGGAAATCACTCAATTTTGGGATAAATCCATAGAGATACAGCCCCACTGCAAAAACAAGTGCTCTTTTTTTGGATTTAAAACCGTAAATTGGAGAAGTCCTGAGTGGTCCAGACCAGGGATGCTCAGCCTTGGCTCCCCTCTCCTTTGCTGTCCCTGGGGCCAAGTCCCTGTGTGGTTTTCCCTGCATTATAGCAGGGAAACAAACCCCAAAACCCACTTCTAAGGTGGTTTCAAAGTGCATTTAGGGGAACAAAACCCAGCAAATACATGTATTTATATGTTTATATATTAATATATTTATATATTT